GCCTCTGTCTTTGAACTCTGCTCTTTTCTTTATTAAGTAGTCCTTGTAAAACATAGGTTTATACTGCTCCATGTGGAGGCTAAACTTGTCATAGTCCATTATTATGCTGACTCTCAGGGGTCCCGGATGCAGTGTACTGTTCATTTACGGTTTGTTTCAACCCATTTATTTTTACACGTTCTTCTATTCTGTTCTCTGCTTGATGAAAAGTTGACACAGGTCTAAAAAACTCACCAGTGCTTTCCAATGTTTTCCTGAGTCAAGACCAATAACAAGAAAAATCCTTGAATTGAATTATCCCTGTCATGCAATCAACACAGTGCAATATTGTCACAGTGGTGAAATGGGACAACAAAAATGGTCATGCCTTCTTTCTCTCACTCTGTAATCCAACCCCCAACCTTCTCTCCATTCACTGTCTCTCTGGCAGCCTGACAGCTTGTGATCCAGGCGTGGCCCGTGGAGCTGGCTCCCATGGCAGTGCCCAGGCCACGGTTAGCGCTCAGTGCTCTTGAGCAGTGCCACGGATCATTACCCTTCCTCAGTGGAGAGACTGACTGACTGTTGCTGGTGTGAATACAGAAGTGTATGATCTCTGACCCAGGAGGGAGGGCAGCCCAAACAGAGGATGAGGAATTAATATTAATACAGCTCGACACGTCAAGGGGTTTCCATGTTTTTTTTACAGACAATGCATCAGAACCACTGGTGCCCATTGGAGATTTTGAATTGATTTGAAATCAGGCATGAGAAGCAGTTTTCTCCCTTAATGCTTATTTTGAATGCAATGCTCTGCCAAATATTGTTTTCATTTTTTTATTTATTTATTACAGGGACAGTGCATATTAATGAACATTTCTGTAAATATGCCAGAATTAGCCAAGCGGCTATTTTTCATCCGTAGTCCTTTGTCTCCTGAAAACATGTTTTACATGTTTTTACATGTCTACACAGACATTCAGTCACACATCATTCAAAAAACGATACTTTCAATATGACAGTAGAAATATTACGCATTATTCTTGTCCAAAATAATGAGTCTCATTACTTTGTCATTATCTCTTACAGAATGTGAAATAATGTGTACACTTTAAAATAAATGGGGAAGCAAGGGTAAACAATGCTACTCGCCCTATCCCTATGCTCTCATGGATGTGTAAGTTATTTTGTATTTTTTCCCCAAATTGGAACCACAAACATGTAATAAATTTGAGTGATTTCGTTGTTTATCTTTTTTTGCGCCGGTCACGTGACTGGGTGGCAAAACAGCTGCGAAAGCTGGATGCTAGAGATTTAGACAGATTTAGACGTTTGGAGAGAGGTATTACTAAATTAAATGGTCTATTCTTGTGTGGTCGTTTAACAGCTTGGTCGTTTAATAGTTTGAATTCCTTCGGAAAAGAACAAAAAAAGTTAGAAATGGTTGCGGGCGATCTGGAGAATGAATGCTCAGAAGAAAGCCTGGATTCTGGATCAACAGAAAGAAAAACGTAGCTGGTTTTACTGACAGAGTGAGGGATGATTTCGCTATTCTCCTTTGTAATCACCTATGGCAGATGTGATTCGACCTGGTCTGACACAATCACAGACTTCTGTTTCACGGTGAAAAAAAATTACAACCTTTCTAGAAACAAGTAATCATAGGCCTCCAGACTTTTAAAGGCCTTTAACGGAGTATGTAAAAATCTGGACAAAAGTGGTACTGCAACCTCTCCAACTCTCCCTGACTCGGGGAGAGTTGTACTCAGGGAGATATGCAGACGAATCCAACAAATCTATAACCTGACCAAAAGGGGTTTAGGATACAGTCAAGACTTACTGCCTAACCCCTATTACAACTGTGGCAATACGTCCCATACGTAAGATGACACATTATACAGTTCTCATACACCAACAGAACATAAAACTTCAATAATCAGAGTTATTAGGCATAATGCAATTCATGTGTTCTAAACTTCTCCATAATGTTTAACCTCCACTTCAAAGTTGTATTAGTTCTAAAGCCCTTATGTTGGTAGACCATTGCATAGATTAACTCATAGACCCCTCCCATGGTCTTTTGGAGGAGATAAGTTCCTCTGAGGTTGTGTCTACCTGTAAAAGTGGGTTTTTGTCCTGATTTTGTCTTGTCTTGCTTGTTTTATTATTTTCTTTTTGGAGCATTGGCCTGAAAAAAGAGTGAGAGCTCATGTTTGACACCTGTTATACCTGCTGATGTTTCACAACTATAAGACAGCTTTGAGTAAGAGACTGCCATTCCATTATTTTCTAAAAGTTATTCATTGCTCAAGTGGTGTCCATTGCAAGACTTGTTGAACATGAATGATGATCTACATAAAGAACTTTGACCATTTGTTGTATCTGCTCTATTTACCCTGGCTATACCATTTCCCGTTTCAGGAAGAAAAAAATCAAAATTAAATTTGAACTGTAGTTGGTGAATATATGAATACTGAATATAAATTGAATCATAAACTGTCTTTTCATTATTTAGCCAGGTATTTCCATCCCAAAAGACTGCTTCTGTGTCTCAATCTTTACTTTTTCAATATAGTCGTTGTGCTGCCAGGATAATAGTTATTACAATGGGAGGGGACATGGGTTGATTCCGTAGAAAAGAACAGAACATAAAATAAACACAAAACACCATTTCTTATATAAGCACATTACAAAAAAAGAGAACAAAATAATAGGTTGGAGTATTCTGGGGATATCTAGTGGTTTAAAATTAACTTATCAGCAGAAACAAACAAAACAACTAGGAAGATAATTCTAAATGCTACAGCATTTTAGGCCGCAGCAGCAGAGGTGGAGTTGCCTCTGGGTGGCCACAGCAGCAGCTGTCAATCACAGCCCAGACCATGCCTCATGCCTAACTCTAAGCCCCCCTTGTCCCGTGGTCCCTTGGGCAACACCTGTTCATGTAGGCGGAGTAAGGCTGGGTACAGGTGTTTAGTTTTCCTTTCAGCTGCTCTGGACTGGCTCACAGTCAGAAACGATTTAAGAGCTGCTTTGTAAAGTTTGTTACTTTTACTCTAAGTAATTGATCTAAAAGGCTTGTATACCCAAGTGTCCTCAATCAAACCACTTGAGCAACGCATAATTAAAAAGAGCTAATTACCTCTAATCACTCCTTTCTACCATAGTCCATAAAATCCTCGTAATTAAATAAAAATTTACAAAAAATATGTACAATAGTTCAAGGTGATTGTGTGTGTGTTTGTGAGTGCGACTGTGGGACAGCGAATGCATATTAGCCCAATCCGGAGAAGTACGTTTATCAACATGCACTGTCCTAACCAACTAAATAATTCATTACATTAAATCCAATTAACAATAAATTAAATGAGAAAAATTTAGATTTAGGACAATAAAAGAATAAATTGAATTGAAGGTCGCGGGTTCAATCCCTACACCAGACATTCTCCATCAACTCCCACTGATGTTAGCTGCTGTTGTGTCCTTGGACAAGACACTTCCTCCTGTAGACTTACCACCTGCTGGAGGATCATTGAGGGGCTGGTGCTTAAAAAAATTCCCTTTGTACTAAATTCTTTGAAAAATTGATCATGCTTTTTGAGTCAATGATGTGAGTCTTTTGGAATATGAAGTTAGTCCTTCCAGTCTTGCGGTTGGTCACGCAGGGATGGCTAATCTATAATGGTGGCTGTCACCATCCCCGCTGTGACAGTTTCTGTGACAAATGCACACAGTTTCACTTTCAGCTCCACAGTACTGAACTGTAGAGTTCAAAATGCACTGCAAATAAGAGCCAAGTCTGTATTCAGTCCAGTGCACAAAAATCATCCATTCTTCCAATGTACTGTACAACGTTGGAGCTTGGCAAACCAGGTGACACAAAGTGAAGTGACGTGCCCACTTAGTAGGGGAAGCTGACCCCTGAGAGTCCACTGTGGCATAGTATAAAGGCAACACAGTGTCAGGCAACAGTTTGAGTGGTTTTGACTAGGTCTACCAATTCTGACTTTCAAGGAATCTTAAAATGTTTGTTATTTTGTCAACACTTATATGGCATATTGGACATTTACAACATCCAGAACAAATTCAGCCTTTACTTATTAATCAATGAATAGTGAGCTATTCATTGATTAATAAGTAAAGGCTGAATTTGTTCTGGATACTAATACTTGGTTTTCGGATACTATTTTAATGCTCTATTTTCAAAGGATTCTCATAAGATGCCAAAAATATTATTTTTCTGACAGCTGTGGCCAACTATTTAAGCAAATTACTTACTAGTTCTCCTTAACATTAACATAAAGTTTGAAGTTTTAGTAAAAACCTCTCCAACCAATTAAATAATCTGATTTCTAAGTTGAATTGGGTCAACAATAAGTTTAATGATTTCCAGTCGTTATTAAGATCGCTACTCACTTATTGTTAGGGATGCATGATAATTTCTCATGGGCGATATTATTGGCTGGTATCAGCAAATATTACATTACCCCGTTTTGTTTTTTATCACCTTGTTCACAGCTGACACACACATACACACACACACAACCCAGACCCAGAAACTTTACGTAACACAATGTTTTCAAGGCTCCATCGAGAAAGCACGAGGCGGCTGCATGTTCGGTAGTGTGTCAGCGCTGTGGAGTTAAAAACGTCCTTCATATGGACATCACTGCAGGATTGTAGTGTGTTTGTCAATGAAAGAGCGTTCACACTCTTCAGTCCAAGTTCTCTGTCCATGTAAATGCAGTCTCTAAAGGCACCAAATGAATAGAAGGTATTAATATAAATCATCACAAAATTAATGATTGGCTTAGTGTACACTTTATACAGTATATATGATGTCACTTCTATGCATTCAAATTATAGTAAATAAGGCATTATTATTGTCTTGCATTATCAGTTATCGGTCACAAAATTATTGGTTATCAGAAATTTGCATTATTGTGCATCCCTACTACTAGGCTTTTATAGGTTTAGGTGATCTCCTGTAACTAATCAGCTGTTGTCTGTTTTTGGTCTAGAGCACAGTAGTGGTGGAGAAGTCAATCCAGGATCTCATGAACCTCATGCAAGATCTGAGTGCCTACTCCAACCAGTTCCTGGAAATGGTCTGCGACAAACTTAAAGAGTACAAGGAGATTTGCAACACAGCCTACAGGTAAAGACCTCAACATTCTGTTTATCATTTGTTATAACATACAGGGGAAAGACAGGGGGTAAGGGGACGTGCTGCAATTCTAGCCACAATGTTATGCATTACTGTATATGTATTCACATAGATAGATAGATAGATAGATAGATACTTCATTATCAGATGTCCAGCAGCAGAAGTACATAGAATGTGAAATAATTTCCTCCAATGGATACATGACTAAACATGGACTGATGATGAGTAAAGCATATCCATAGACTGGAATCTGTATCTAAATTTGTGGATAGCAACTATTCCGCAGCCAAGCCAATTCCGGAGGGAGACTACACTGTGGCTGCTCACACTACTCACAGAAGGCATCTGGTTAGTCAGGTATTAGGGGTCATATTTAGATTACGAAGACAACACCAAAATAGAAAAGCCAGCATCAAACAGTGTTAAACCAAAGATTCACTGGTGAGTGCGTTACAAACGTATACAGAGTATGAGTGAGTAGGAGCAACATTTAGCACTTTTCTATTAGGCTTCATTGTGCTAGCGGGTCAGCACTGTCCATTCCTATACAGAGACTATCGGTAGTGCTGGAGTTTGTGCCATAAGTTCCTATTATTGCCATGGATGCAACAAAAAATACTGCAGATTTCTTTTGATGAGTGAGCATTTTAGCAAAATTAAGAACTCAAAAGCAACAAAAATCCTGTTGTGTGTCCATGCCTTTAACTGATTTTGACTGCTAAACCCTGGGGGAGCCTCATTTCCCCTGGACAAGGTGCAAATACGAAATTAATTGCGGAACACAGCCGTTTCCTCATCTCAAACACATGCAAACAAAACAAGTACACGGTGGCAGTCGGTAGCAATTTGGCCCAACACCCAATCAGACCTGCTGCTGTAAATGTCAACACAAACAGCCAAACCAGTCAGTGCGAGCAAATACAAAAATACATGGCCTTGTTTCATTAGCGTTGAGATGTTGTCATTAAAACTTGCATGCATCTTGGGTCCTGATCTCATTATTTGTGGGCGCTGGAGCAGTGTCTATGACAAGCAAGTGTCTTCATAATTAACCCGAAAGCACTGCACTGGTATGTGCAGCTATATAACAAATCCAAACTTTAATTGTAATTTGATTGGTTTGCTTAGAAAATTTTAACATAACAAATTGTTTAAGGAAGGTCATGATAGTATTTTTCAATTCCCGCAAATGCCAAAAGATATTTCACAGAAGAAAATTTGGTATAACTTGTAGTCACAGATCAGTGACACACAACAACCTTATAGACTCAAAGTGACCAAAGGCACTGGCAGTTCAAGTTTCCCCATCTGGTTTTCGGACAGCATTTTCATGGGTCACAGTGACATCAGCTGGTGGCTCAAATTGGACCAGTGCAGACATACCAGCAGCTGGCCCAGGAAAGTCAGAATCCAGGAGGCAAACCAAAATTCAAGCTTCTACTCGCTTCTCAAGCTTCTACAAGCTTGACGATCCAAATCAAATCCAGATTTAAAAAAAAACAGTTCTTAGAGGCTGCAAAATAACTGTCTTCAGTAAAACTCAGACGAAACTCAAGTGAATGTCTCCAGAAACAAAGAGGGCGTTATCTGTCACTTCCATTCTCTTTCTAAAACCTTCCAATCAGTTCAGAAATATTGTGGTAATCCTGGACTCAGATCTAAATTGTAACAGCCAGATCAAATCAGTTACATCAGCAGATTTTTACCATCTAAAAATATTGCTGGGATCAAAAATATAGTGTCTCAAGCAGACTTGGAGATTTTTATCCCTTCTTTTGTCTCCAGTCGGTTAAATTACTGTAATGGCTTCTCACAGGTCTGTCCAAACAGGCTGTAAAACAACTGCAGTACATTCAAAATAACGATCCTCGAGTCCTGACTAGAACCAGGAAGTATGATCACATCAGTCCAGTCCTCAGGTCTCTGCACTGGCTTCCTGTGGCTCAGAGAACAGACTTTAAGACAGCTCTGCTTGTGTACAAGTCTTTCCATGGCCTCGCACCAAAGTACATTCAAGACATGTTGGTGCCAACTCAAACTCTAATCAGCAGGGACTGGCCTCCTGATGGTGCCCAGAGTGAGAACTAAACATGGAGAGGCAGCATTTAGATTTATCAAGCTAAAATCTGGAACAGTCTTCCTGAAGATTTGAGACAGACTTCTTCTCGGACAATGTTCAAATCTAGTTTTTTTTTGTGTACTGTGATTATTTGTAATTTAAATACCCTGTAATGTTTCTATCTTTGAGTGGCCTTGTGTATGAACTGTGATATTATTAATATAATTTATAATAATTAGTCTAGTCAGTAGACTCTGTGGTCCCAGGCCCAAAGTGATGTGATTTTTCTTTACAGGGGGATTGTGCAGTGTGAAGAGAAGCTTACCATCAGTGCCTCATGGTCTAAAGATGAGGACATCAGCCGCTTGCTCCAGTCGCTGCCAAACTGGGCCAACATGGCTCAGCCGCGCCAGACCCGCCAAAAGAGGGAGGATGAGGAGGATTACACCCGGTAAGACAAGCAGGAGCAATTCTTTACATTCTCACCTACTACACATAAAGCCTTGGTGTATATGCGTATATATATTAAGAAGTGTCTTGCCTGTGTCTTGACAGGAAAGCGTCAACTGAGGAAAAAAGCTAATTCAATGGCAACATACACGTTGAATTTAAATGAATCAACAAAGTATATAAAATGCTCAATAAAATGTGTCACCTTTTTCTATTCATCCCTCAATGACTTCCTGTCACATCCTATGTACTTATATTAATCACCAATTGTCTATGAGTGATGTTACATTCTTGCTGTATCAATTCAGTTTTCAAACAGAAGCGAACAAAGCCAGCCACACCAAAAGCAATTCAGTCAATAATCTCCACCATGTGTTTGCACTCCTCTCATATTGTCAAAAGCTGCTTCCTGTATTGACTAAGATGCGCCCATAAAAGGAGTCATGATTGCTCTTTCAAACCCACTCTCAATCAAATGGAAGCGAGGCAACAAGAACTGGACAAAAAAGGAAGTGTGAGCAGAATGAGAAGGGGTAAGTAAGAGGGGTAGAGGGGGGGGGGGTCGGTCTTATCGAAATTGCCTTTGAATGCGTGCTCTCTTAAGGGAACACCACAGCCCATTGGAGCGGAATGGTAAAGTAAATAAATAAATTGGTTATGTGGCCGCAAAAAGTCAGTCTGTGGCGTGCACGTCCCTCTCAGACACACTGTCAGAGAGCAAGGGGATGCCGAGAGGAAGAGAAAAAGGGATAATGCTTTGTAACTTTAGTCCAGTCCGGTCCAGTTTATTTATAAAGCTGTAATTAAAACAAAACGATTGACCAGAGTGCTGCACATAAAAAGACATACAAAAATATACAATTCGAAAATACAAACAGTGGCAAAAAACACGGTATTTACAGCAAAAAATCCATTTAAAATATATTAAAAGCCAATGAGAACAAGTGAGTCTTAAGACAAGGCTTAAAAACAGGAAGTGGATCACACAGTCTTACACACAGGGGCAGCTCATTCCATAATTTAGGACCAACAACCCAAGTCAAATTAGCCTGATCTGCGGACCTGAGAGAGCGTGATGGAGTGTATGACGTCAGTAGGTCAGACAGATAACGCAGAGCAAGGCCATTCAGGCATTTATAGACAAACATCCATCCATCCATCCATCCATTTTCTACCCTTTAATCCATTTCTGGGTCAGGGGGGTGGCAATCAGAGATGCCACCCAAGTCTCATAGCACCAGCCCCTCACTGACCCTCTGCAGGTGGTGAGTCCACAGGAGGACGGCTGCTCTCTGAGTGTGAGCATAGCCTTGATCTTTCAGTGGGGGCTTTGGGCAAAGTGGGGTTAAGTGTCTTGCCCAAGGACACAACGACAGCAGTCATCAGTGAGAGTCGGTGGAGAAGGTGCAGAGGTGGGAATTGAACCCACGACCTTCTGGCCTTAAGGCCAATGCTCTACCAACTGAGCTACTGTCGCCCCTATAGACAAACATAAGGACTTTAAAATCAATCCGGTAGCGAAAAAGAAGCCCATGAAGGGACCGGAGAGATATGCTCATACTTCAGAGTTCCTGTTAACAGACGTGCCACAGCGTTCTGTAGCAGCTTTAGACGAGTGAGTGAGGACTGGCTGATTTCTGTGTACAAGGCGTAACAATAGTCCAGCCGAGTCGCAACAAAGGCGTGAATCAAAAATTAACTAAAGCCTCATTGAAGAAGGCCTATTTACTTTTGCTCTTTATCATGATTCTTATCTTGCACACTCTTTTCGTGTTAATATCTAAAATGCTCTTTGAATAAAAGAAATGTCTACTAACGTTGTGCTTTGAACCTTTAAACGTCATAGCATTTGATCATAGTTGCACTGGCTGATTATTTTGAAGCTACAGATTAATTTGTATACCACAACAATGAATCCATTGACCCTATTATGGCATGACTAGATGTGAATCCTTGGGCTCGTTCCTACTGAGCAAAACCTTACAAAAGTCACGAAAGGCACATTAAGCATTAATGCTTAAACAAGGATACATTACAATGCTATTTGGTCCATGATAATATTATTACAGATATGGTTGAAGTCTATTTTTGGTGGGTATAAATGACAATGATCAGGTCACATACAGTATATTGAAGTTGAATAGCCGGTTACAAAGAGATTCAAGATGTTAAATAATGCATCCTGAGAGACGTCCCTCACCATTTGATTCGTCATGCACCCACAACATTTGAGGATTCATACAACCCCCTCAACACCGTACTAACCCATGTTACGCTGGTGGGATTTGAGACCACTTTTCCAAAGAGCCTGGACAAATGCTGTGACATGTTCCTGCCTTTTCCATGGTGGAAAGCTGGCATGGGTCCATACAACACACCAACCATTTGACCACCACCAAGTGACATGTCACTTCAATACTGGTCTGCTGCGTATAAACATCTCTTGTAACTCTTTTCTCCCAGGACTGCGTTCGCTAAAGAGTCAGAGGTCTTGACCGGTAATCTTGGAGACAAACTGATCCCCCAGAATGAAATCCTGCGAGATGTGAGTGACATGAAGGCTCTGGCAAACCTCCATGAGAGCATGGAATGGTTTTCAGCGCGGCTCAAGGCCTTCTTTTACAGTGTACCCTACATGTCCGGTGAGTCCCCCTCTGCAGTTTACTTAGTTCCATTGTGTTCTGATCCATATTTTAACACTGCCTTTTTTCCTGCTTGAAAGTGGAGTGCAGCACATAAACCATAAAGGAATGGAGTGACCGAGTGCTGTCACCCACAGTGTTTGCCAAATGCAAAAAAGCCGATTTTAAAATAAGTTAGCTGAAGCCTAGAGATCATAGAGAGCTGTAACGTTATCTTGTAAATTTGGTGTATATAAATCTGTGTATATAAAGTGAATCCATTCGACCCCAATTCAGATTATTGCATTTGCCACAAATATGAAATGGACAATGGGAACACAGCGCTTTTTCCAGTGAAATGCATTGTAGGGCAGAATCTTGCCTCCACACTTCAGACAAGTGTGGAAAGAGAGTTTGATGAAGTGTGGATGTGACATTGTCAAGAATTAGCACTGCAGCTCCTCGTGCTGAACACGCATATATAGTGGGAGAGGGAGTATTGGGACTGGGCCTGTGACCTAATGGGAGGAACAAAAAATTCAGTGTAAAACCTTCCAAATGTATTAACACAAAATATTAACAGTGAAAAGTTGAAAGACATCACTTGCCTCTCAAATGGTAAATTTGTGATATATTTATGAGAGATGTTATCTTTAACAGTGCAGTTGAGTGGGTAGGGTCTAGCCAAACCACACCCAATTAAGATTGGAATTAAAACCAATTCATAAACATAATTGAATAGGGTGATGAAGAATATTTTCCAAATCATCACTAAAACACACCCATTGTGACTTGATGCTTTGCTGAAGATGAGAAGCCTCAGTGTTTGCTAATAAAAGCAGCAGTGTATGATAAGATGTTGCAAGTTAAACTTAGTGAACCATAAAATGGAAAGATACAAAAAGCAAGGACCATAACGTTATACATTTCCACTCAGGGAGAGATTACACCAAAGGGTAATATCACATCAGCCTGTTTTCCCCCTCTCTCCAAACATTACTAAGCCCCTCTTGGGCCTCTATGTGCGAGACAGTTTGAGGATCAGCCAATAGTAGTGGATTTATAATACTTTTTTCTGTTTCTTTTATCAATTGGATGATGTAATGAAGGGTTAATTTTGATGTAGGCCTTATTTTAGCAAATAGTTTAATAAAAAATGATAACATTGCTCCGGATCCTGTAATGTAAGCTTATAAAAAGGACTGCATTAGGACAAACAGGTATTTACTCCTCTATGCTGCCATGTAAATGTAACAAATGCACACAAGCACACAAATATATACAAAATAAGTTGTAGCTATGTTTCTTAACTAGCTGTAAACGCTTCAATTCAATACCAGTACCAATAAATAAATAATATAGGTAGTTGTAGTTGCTAGGTAAATGCAATATTTACCTAGCAACATTCCTCCATCCTGCGGCTCATTAAGTTCCTGTTTGAGTGCATCATCACATATTTCCTCTCTCACCACGTAGCACTTTGCACTGGCTCCAATTATCTGTGCTGCATCTGTAGGTGTGAGCCTAATCAGAGCTCCTTAATGCGTTTTAAGCATGGCCCACGTGTCATCACTTTTACTCAGCTAATGGCTTGTTATTGTAAACTTTACACGGGTTCAGAATTGCACCTTTTGAATGGAATCAGCAGCAAGAAGTGCTTTATGCACGTTTTATCTCGTTAAAGGCAAATTAAGTCAACGTAGTATTCCGAATCATTAGTATTATCTCATCTATTAATGTTGGCAATCAACTCTGCCGTGTTTCTACGGCAGTATTTGAGCCACGATTTGAACTAAAAAAGAAAGTGCACCTCCATCCATTGTCTTTCTGCACTACGTACAGCCTAATGCCACTGTTTAAAACATACTCAAGGACAACTATCCATCATATCAACCTATTTTTAATATGCATTAACGGGTGCTTTGATTGATTTCTAAACTACGGTAATTTTTATTGCAATTAATTGACAGATTTAAGGTAACTCAAAGCCGTAGTACCTAACATTTTTTTATGATAATCAAACTTTTATCCGGTAAAGAAAACAAAGTTTTGTAAATGCCATCATTGAAGGAGCTGGTGGCGTGGTGGTGTGCCATGAAGGCATGGTGACTGGAGGTGTGGTGGCTCTGGCTGGTCCAGGATGCGGAGGGGTACTGGTGTGGTGACGGCCTGGTGATGTGGTTGGGCTTTCATGCAGGTGTCACTATCTTCTCCCACTACACTGCCACGAATGCATACGATTTGTATATACGTTAATAGTTTGAATGTAAACACTAACACTATCAGTTTGACCAAGTGAAAATATGTTATTGTCTGGTAAAAAGAAAAAAAAGGAAAAATAGAAGAAATCTAAAAACATTGTGGTTGAATGAAGTCGCCTGAACAAGACCCGTCACTGGTGGGGTAGGGTGTGTGCAGTTCTGGCTCGAGGCTTTGGTGTGTTGCTGGTTGTTGCTGCTCTGGTGCCTGCTGCGACGGGAGTGGCTGGGGTCACTGTGCTGCTTGTTGCCGTGTTGTTGCGCATTTCTTTGACACACTCTTATGTGAACAGGAATGGAAATGTATAAGATTCTTGTCTTCCTCGCACTCCATTTCGAGTTTGAATGATGTCAGTATTGTAATAAGTAATTGTAAATGGATGATTTGATGATTATTAAACTCAAAATAAATAAACACTCAACTAAATGAAGTAAAATGTTGTGAAACAATTAGACACACAAAGATGGCAATCCTCTTTTTTTCCTTTTCTGTCTGAAAAGTGGCCAAAGACACATGCAACAACATGTGGAAACAAGTGATACAACAAAACTGTTTTAAGAGTGAGATGGATTTTATTACAATCCATTTTCTGTGGTTTGAAAGTTGGGTACCTTAGCTTTAGCAAAATGCAGACTACCCATGACTGTTCTTCAGTCTTGACCTCAATTTAGGTAGCACCCAGCCTCCCCATTCTCAGGCACAGTTTAGAGGGTGAAACTGGAAACTGCGAAAATAGAAACAAACTACAGCTTTGCATGGATTCATTTGGAAGAAGTAGTAGAATTCTTCTCAGTGCACCGCTTTTGTTGTTTACATTTGTTCTCAGCTACTGTACATGTTCAAAGGTACGTGCGGGGAAGTGGTGAGGTCATAGCAGGCAGAGAATTCACACATTTTTCCTCACACCATTGTGAGGAAAAATTAAACTCACTGGAAACTTTAGTGCACAGTATGCACAAAGCTATACCAGAGCTCGGTTCATGTAGAGCTTGGGTAATTGGGATGTGTTAATGTGCATGGTGCCCGCAATAAAGTTGCACTGTGCACTCACAATAGTATCCACTGTCATATAGAGATGTTGGACCTCTGGTAAGCAGTCTTTTTAGGCTTGAATGTGATATGAATGCAGTTACACCTGTAGAATAACTTATCTACGTAACTATCATCAGAAGACAATATGAGGGCAGACTGAAATGAGTCGTGGAGGACTGAGGTCATCATGTGGATTGCCCTGTATTAACAGATTTAAAATATAATGGAAAAACATATTAACCCTTGTGGTATCCTTGTGCATGCGGGGAAGTGGTGAGGTCATAGCAGGCAGAGAATTCACACTTTTTTCCTCACACCACTGTGATAGAGCGCCCTGCCACACAGCGTTTCTGTTATGTTCACCTCTGGAGGGTTCTCAATGCTTGCATTTTCACCCCCCTAAAACACTGTGTCCATGAAAACAGGAGGCCAAACCAATACCCAACTCTACCGGTATACTGTCGCAGCGTCTCCACCGAAACAGGGCCCAGACTATTCCTCAGACTCAAGCTACTTCACTGTCCCTATCTCAACTTTCCTTTGCACATAAAATAATTACTTTAGAATTTCCAGATATTCTTATTTGGCTTTGACTTACTTTGTCACAATCTCTTTTCAACCCCTCCCCTCACTCCTTCCACTTCCACAGATAAGAATTCAATAAGAGCCGTGTGCAGGACGTGGTTTAATTGGCATTAGGAGTGGTGGATTGCCTTCATAGGAGGAGTGGGTCATATTTATCATCTCAGGACAGCCTCCGTATTGGTCTTTATTTAATGTTTGCAGAGTTGATGGTGCCTATACCGCTTTTCCTGCTCTGTGTACATATGCATATGCGATGGGACAAGGGAACAAGTTAGCTTATCTCTTCAGCCGCCCCCCACCACTCGCTGTCCTCCTCCATGCTTCTCCAAATTGGATTTTATATTACAGGAGCAGTCATGTATGAACGACTCATTTTCCTCCAATGCTGTTTTTCATTCTTCCTATCCTTTTTTTCCATTTTCACTTTTTTTCAGCTATTGTGTGTAAAGGCTTGGAGTAGGATTTACAGTATCAACATGGTTATAATCAGGGGTGCACACAACTTTTTCAGTGAGGTTCTCAGATGAGAATCAGGAGATGGTGTTTGGTACTCACTCCATTTGTCGCATGGTTCTTAATCGAGATTTCATACTTGCTTCTTTTTTAATGCTAAAGTTTAGATCAGCACACATAATAAAAATCAAAAAATCAAAACAATATTCTGTTTGATTTGTTCACAACATTTTAGTTTTGGGCACAACCAACATTACTGTATGCTTTATTATTGCAAGGGAAAATGTAGGAACCACAGCTTTAATTTAGAGACACGGCGAGGACATGGACATTCCCTTAAGGTTCCATATCCAGCTCTGTTTCTGCAGTAACGGTGCCATTACAAAGCGGCCGGAGTGGCTCTGGAGTCAGAACGCCGCTGCCACGGAGGATTTGGAATCCCGTTCGAGTACGTACAGCAAACAGCAGCAAGTGCCCAGCGATCACTCACACCCTCTCTGGCTGTCGTGGGTTACTTAAAATAAAACAGGCAAGCTCGGATTCCAGTGTTTAGGTGGGTTTATTTTCTACTCTCCCAGAGTGCAAAAATATTGTGAAGGCAGTGCAGAGCGTATTTACAGTGAAATTAGCACACAAAAAAACAAGTTCACACAGACACATAGGTCACCTTAAAGTTTCAAGTTACCTCCTCT